CATCTGACACTTTTACTCATGCAGCGATAAAAAGGAAAAAAATTTCACTTTCAGTGAAACCATGATTTTGATAGAGGAAACCATGATTTCATGATAAACCATGATTTCAAAGAATGATAAGGTGTTTGGATGCTTTTTTCTTAAAACTTGGTTTTCTCTTCAAATTTGAAGAAATACCCAAACACTCTTCTAGATGATAATATCTTATGCTTCATATTTGTGTAAAATTAAGGGAATACTTGATTAGGAAGCAACAAGTCAGAGTAATAATTAAGGAATACAAACTTCATAAATATAATTGAATACACAATTTAGAAGAACATATTGGTGGGCTAATCCTGCATAACAACGTAATTAGGATGTGGAGGGGAGCAAGATTAAAGACTCCCTAGTCAGCAATAGGGGTCAATGGGTGCACCATTTCATTTGGAATGTTGGGTTCTCATATTTTAATATTTTTATCTTTAATAATGTAAAAACAGATAAGTTGACGAGACCTAAGCTAGAACGCAGAAAGCCGCACCCGGTTTCTTTCATTCAGCGTTATCGTTTGCCAAAAGGGTGTTTCCAGATAAGATTTCATTTCCGGAAAATGACATCGTCTTCCCTAATTTCCCTCTAATTTCATTGTTTATGTGGGAAAATCTGAGCTTCTAATGGCTCTTCTTATCCATTCACCGGTGGCGCTCGTAAACCCCAAAGTTTTCTCCGATCACAGCCCTAGCTTTAGGAAGCTTCAGAGCGGTAAATCCTTCACAGACGGTACTGTAACTGGGCCTAATTGTGGGATAAGAGTTTCTTGTAGGGTGAAAGAGTTTGGGGTGTCGCATTTGAATCAGCATGTGAGAGTGAAGCCGTACGGTCTTTTTTCAGCCCCGGTAAAGCTAGAATCGAGGCCGAGCAAAGAGGAGGAAGAAAAGCAGAATTACTATTTGAATCTGGGCTATGCGATCCGGACTTTGAGGGAGGAGTTCCCTGAGCTCTTTTATAGGGAGCTTAGTTTCGATATCTACAGGTTTGTTGAGTCTTCGCATAATTAATTCGTGATTTTCCACCACCGGGTAGTTGAGTGTTTGAGGATAATAGGTTTTTTTTTTTTTTGGTTATGATCTTTGTTTTCCACCAATTTATCATTTGTAATTTTATAGTTGAACATAAATTATGGCCTTTGACACTGATTGCATGTATTGATTATATCATATAAAACGTACAGCAAGGTGCAAACAGTACAGAAGACACGAAAGCGCAAAGTGTAGTGCTTATGTTTTACATGACTGATTATGATCCTGCCTTAGGAGGGATTGACTAAGCTGGATGTTAAAACGCTGACGTTTGCATCTGGAAGCTCCTACTGTTGTTGATAATTTTAAACCTTTAGTGTCAACATTAACACTGGACAGAATATTTAAGTTTCAATTTGTAGATTGTCACTGACTAAATGTTATCTGTGGATCAGTGACTTGATTGATTTTCATTCTAAATTTTGGTATGCGTGCTTTGAATGTATCAAATACTAGTATAGGAAATCGGAAACCGGAATATACCCAGTGTCGAATTGAGTTGTTCTGTGGGTTTGTTCCTGTGTCTAAAATTTATTGCTCAATGATTGCAATATTATGTCCACTTTGCAGGGATGATATCGTATTTAAAGATCCTCTCAATACATTCATGGGCATTGAGAATTACAAATCAATCTTCTGGGCATTACGATTTCATGGCAGGATCTTTTTCAAGGCTTTGTGGGTTGACATAATTAGCGTGTGGCAGCCTGTTGAGAGCACGATAATGGTTCGCTGGACCATTCATGGAATCCCTCGAGTTCCATGGGAGAGTCGTGGAAGGTTTGATGGAACCTCTGAATATAAACTTGACAAAGAAGGCAAGATTTATGAACACCGGGTTGACAACATTGCTGTGAATTCACCTCCAAAGTTTAAAGTGCTTGGCGTGGAACAATTAATCCAATCTATTGGATGCCCCTCAACCCCAAGACCAACTTACTTTAAAATATCTTTGTCTTCAAAGAGAACTTTGCATGGGTGAAGTTCTTCAAAATTTTTGGGTGTAAATTGTGAATGTTATGCTGAAGTATTGAACTAGACATATAAAGCTGTCGTATATTTGTGCTCCAATGTAGTAGTAAGTGTGTAAAGGATCTATATTGGCTGTTGTAAGTAGCAAAATTTCAGCCATGTATATATTTTGTACACTCCGTTTATTCTATGGATTTGCTAAGCGTTGTCATCAGATGCAGTTGGACTTTCGAAGAAAATGTTTTGATTTCTTAAAGCAATTCTCATAGATGCATTAGAAGAATGGGGTATTATATTCAAGAGTGATGTTCATGTACAACTATAAGGGAGGAACATACAAAAGGATTGATGCGTACTATAAACGCACGGGCATGCAGTTGTAAGATTCTAGTCTCTAGACATCACTTTTTATGGAGGAACTATATCCAGTTTGATCATCGTAGTACTTGGACCATAACATGACACCTCCATAATTTGCAGCGGTTTTGATAGCCGGGAGCACCTTTGAGGTAAGATCAGTCACAGGAATAAAACCACTTCCAGCCGCCTGGGGAGATGCAGGCAGCCCTAAGAAAACTTTTGTGCTCGGGATGTCTGCAATCCGTTGCTTCCAGGCATTTTCAAGATTGTTAATATCTGTAGAACTGTACTGGCATGGAGGATTATTGTAAAACTGAACCCAGACATAGTCAAAAAGGCCTGTCTTAACGGCATTTCCAAGCCAGGCATCAGGAAAAGGGCACTGTGGAGCTGCTGTAAGGTAAACCTTCTTTCCTTTGCTGGTGTATCCTGAAAGTAGAGATGCCATTATAACGCAAACTATATAATTATCTGAGTTTTATTATTACCTAATCATACTGCATTATTCTGATCAGTCATAAAACTCTTTCAAAGTTTGGATTTTTGGATTAACCACTGACTCGTGCTTCATTCTTTATTCACTTATGTCCTCTCTCTCCTCTTGCGGTGATCCATAATTCCATATGACAGAGGAAATAATATTGAAAATCTTTTAGATGAACAGTAAATAGGAAAATAAGTCGCAGTCAATCCAATTAGTTTGGACCTTACTTAGACCCAACTGTTTGTTAGCCATACCTGAGAGATATCTGGCAAGATCGTCCCAATGCTGGTTTGTTCCTTGTTCAATGTCAAAGTCAATTCCATCCAAGACAGCTTCACCAAGAGGACGAGAAGGTGAGTTTCCCCCCAAAAAGTTATTCCAAAGATAAATGGCAACCTGTCTAGCATCCTCTGAGGATGCAAGTGAGTAGCTCCCTGCACCTCCACCAATTGAGAGCATGACCTTAATGCCCTTGGCTTGACAAGACTTTATGTCAGCACTTAGAGACATGCAGGCATTGCTATATGCGTCACAATGGCCTGAAAGGTCTATCTTGGGAATTCTGCCATTGCCAAAAGTGTAGAGAAAAGCTATGTTCACAAAGTCATAGTTTCCTGAAGCACAAGTCTGTGCTAGAGTTTCCTCATTCCCGTTTTGACCCCAGTAGATGGCAATCCCGCCAGCCTCTGATCCTCTTGCTAGGGTAAGCAGCACCACTGAGAAGAAAATTGGCATCAGAGTTCCTAAAGTGCCTGCCATTTAATCTCTCTCGTTTGAAATTTAAAGGTTTTTTTTTTTTTGGTCTGGGGATGTATCGCTCTATCAGCAAGAGAGACTTATATAGTTGAAGGTGGCTGATGAGTTTTGAAAGTAATCTTGTATTGCTTATGAAACTGATCGGTGTGCCTTAAGGGCTATCTCTGGATTGCGTTTTCGGCCTAAAACAATGTCATATGAATGGTAACTAAAAGTCAGGTGATCTGATTTCTGCCTTGTCTCTTGGTAGCTCTTCTTTTCTCCAACGTACGCCATGAGCAGCTCTCTTTAAAACGAAAATTCTTCTTGTCCTATAACTTTTGTTCGATTCATAAACAAACCCATTTCAGTTATCTGCAAGCGCGAGAATACATTAGTTGCATTTTATTATTTATTTCCCAAAATAATTGGTACTTTGTTTTTATTGTGTATGAGAAATGTAATATTCAAATGAGTACTGCTCTTTCTGTTGAATTTAATTTAATCCTAAATATAAATGTTTTACCCATTTTATCCTGTTATATTTATTTTATTTTCCTAACTAATTTTACTAAGGAAAAGTTTCATAAAAAGAGCCCTGAAATTATCATTTCTTATTTAGGAACTTAAGAGTTGAAAATAACAGGAAAAAAAAATGTCTGATTTGATATTTTGTAAATGTAATTAAATGATTAAAATGTTCTTGTATCATACTACCTCCGTTCTTAATATAAGATCCTGTTTGACTTTTATTTTAGTTCTAAATATAAGGCCCCATCTACCTTGTCTCTTCATATTTATATATTTTTTTAAAATAGCCCTTCTAACAATGATAGTTCTAGTCAATACATTTATTAGCAATGAATATTTTAACAAAGACAACACCTATTTAGGACAAATAACTAACTCAACTTACTTCCTTAATCTCTTCAAATTAGTCAACTAGCTCTTATAATTAGGACCGGAGGTAGTATTTGGGAAAAAAAATTAGTCAATATGTTTATCACCATTAACTGTTCAACACTTATTATTGTGGAAATAACTTATCACTGCATATAATGCCTGATTAAAAATATCATTTTTTTTAGTTTTTTTATTTATCATTTTCCCTTTTACTAAAATAAATCTAATGTTAAAATATGAACATTTTAAGAAAATGATGTCATATTTATCAAAATTAACTACCTTATTTATTTTTTTATCTACTCAAATTAATTAACTTTTACATTAAAAATTAAAAAAAATTCATCATCTATATTTTGATATAGAAAATGGTAAGCGAGAAGTTAAGCCTCCGTTCCCCAATAAAATCTCATTTCATTAGAAGCAGCCAATGCCGTCATTTTCCCTCTCCATCCTTTTCTGGATCAATAACACTGCCTCATTTTTTTCAGAGAAAACCATATTGAAGGTACCTATACTTTCTCTTAATTTTTAATTTGGTACCTATGTGCCCTTTAATTAAACATTTAATTTTATCTTTTTAACAACATTAACTCTTATAGCTTTGTTCTATTGATATTTTTAGTCTCTACATAAGGATTAATTATGTTAATAGAGGCAAAATAAAGATTTAGTTAAAAACAAAAAACACATAGGTACCAAATTGAAAATTAAAAAAAAGTATAAGTACCTCCAATATGGTTTTTCTTTTTTTTCAAATGTGAAGTTGCAAGTTGGGACCCTCATAGGTGATGGGTGCATTAGTTCCTCAGTGAAGGATGGCGCACAAAAAAATGGCCTAATGATATTCCGTAATCAAAGGTGAGAGGGCTAAAAGCCATCAGAGAGCTTCAAATATTTTCCCTGACAAGAAAGTCATGCTCACGTACAAAACCTAGAGCATGATGCCGTATTCCATAATCAAAGGTGAGAATATGGAATCAAAGGTGAGATGGCTAAAAGCCCATTTTGTTCAATCATCTCCAAATATTTTCCCTGACCAAAAAACTCATGCTCAAGTATAAAACCAAAAAGAGCATGATGCACGAGCATACAAAAATATTAAAGCTTTCGCTAATATAATTGATGACTGAAAGATCAGATATAAGAAGTCCAACATTGGAGAAGCCAGCGAAAACCATAGCATGAAAGCGAAATATGGAGCTACGCCTTGAAGCCAAAGCCGGGGGTACCACAATACTCTTCCAAACCCAACCCAAAAGCTAACAACCGCAGGCAAATTAAACAAGGCTCTACGGAACTAATAAATTAAACATCTGGAGCCAAAGTTCTTAACAGTTCAAACCATTGCCATTTCATCTCATCACTCTAACTTCTTGCCTTTCAACGGACCCCTTGGGATCTTACTCAAGACCTTGTCATCGAACACAGCATACTGCTTTTTAATCTCAACGGTAGCCTTCTCAGCAAACGGGTCTATCTTATCCTGGTACTTGTCATACAGGACAGGAACAGTGTGCAATGTAACAAAGGCTGCGCACCAAATGAGGATTTTCAGATCGATCAAATACCATAACATGAACATAATGCTTCAAATAATGACAGTTATTGTTCTTACATATGTAAAACAAGGTCAAGAAGTTGCACCAAGTTCCTACAATTGATAGGATCCACAAACCAGCAATAACCTAACAACATCAACATCAGATTCCTCAGGATGAGACAATGTCATGAATTTCTTTGAAGATTAAACATCACCCACCAAGTTAGGCACTAAAAATTTATTGCAGTGCAGCAATTAAAATCATAATCAAGCCGAACAATCAGGGCACAATATAAGGAAGTTAGGATCAATTAGTAACATGCAAAATCTATATTGCTCAGTAATGACATAATTATATTATTTTTGCATTAAGGATGGAATGAGATGGTAAATCACATTCACATACAATAAGGAACTTCTTCAGATCTCTTCCTGAAGCTATATTACGCAAGACAGCAAATCCTCTATTGATTTCAATTCTCAAAGCAGCTGCAACTTGCAGGAATGGTTCCTCAGGTAGATGAACTTCCGGGATGCGAGGTGCAGTTCTACAATATGATTTATTGAGCAATGTTAAAGGTTAAATAAATATGAGGTCCCCGCTATAACTTCATTCAATAGATCATAAAGTTGGAGGCCTACTTGTTTATGAAGGTATGGGCATTGGACCACAAGAACAAAACTGCAAGCAGCAGTATCAGAATGTGACAGACCAAAGTGAGAAGGTGATACTCTAGCAACTCGAAAAACACCCAAATGCCTGTGGCTGTGCCAAGTACACTGGCAGATATTTTTTTGTTCCTCCACAGCAACACATCAGCAGCTGCAATTAGTGATTACCATGGGAGTATTAGAAAAACACATCATAATAGCAAAAATAAATAATACAAATCACACAAGGGAAATATAGATTGCCGATCTAACACTAAATTCCCTAAAATATAGAGTATAAATATAAAAATATCGTTACATTTAAAGATCATCCAAAGTTAAGTCAATCAGTATCCCGGACAGCCTAGACAAGTCACTGTCTAGTCCCCATTTATAAGAAAATCCATTGGTACAATCCATACTCCATAGCATTCCATCGATTCGAAACAGTGATTATGCTAATTAATTTTGAAGACCACAACCTACATGGCTACATCACAGATCTGACAAGACTAAAATCGATGAGAAAGCAGGGAAGAGAGCCAGAAGGTTCATACGCTTTCCACCGCCGAGAACAGAATGTACCGGCCTCTCCCTCCCGAAAAGCCGAAATACTTTGTCCTTCACTGACGAAGTAACTGGCTTCTCAGAATCGGAATCGGAAGACGACGAATCGTGACCATTAAGCTTCTCAGCTACTTTCTCCATAACCGATCCAAGACCAGTAACGGTGCTCTCCGCTTCCTCTGCCATTGTCGTCGCCCAACCCGAAGCTAGCGATCCGAAATGCTAAATTCAAGTATCGATGTCCTCAATGCGAGGGCGTGAGCAAGGGAAAAATTTGAGGTAGGGTTTCAAGTGAAGGTGAGTGCAATATTTATAGGTACGAAAAACGAGATGAATCCGAAGCGGCGAGGCTCAGGGCAAATTTGAATAGAGATAACGAGCGAGGAGGAGGAAACGGCGTTTAATTTTTTAATGCCGTCGAGATCCACGCCGTGATAGTTGACGGCGTTTGATATAAGTGCGTTGCCCAGTCACATAGGGCCGCTTTCCACAAAGAAAACACCGACCGAAAACGGCAGGTGACACGTGGCGGTTATTTAGTGGCAGAATACTATGGACGGCTTATACTTTCTGTTCTGGGTTAGATGGACGGCTCATACTTTCCACTGGTTAATAATAATAATGTGGCAGTTGATATACGGCCAGTCTTGATGGGATTTGATTTATCGGTGAGGGCGGGGACGCTATCGGAAAGCTGGCTTCTTGTAAACATGACATCGTGTTGTGTTAATATGAAGTGATTAAAAATAGTTTTTGTTGCTGTTATAAAATAAAAAATTAAAAATGTGTTGAAGCATTGTACAATATTTCAATGAGGACTAAATCCTTTTCAGCTAAGCTAGAAGGATTTTTAAGCAGATTCAAACCGTGGAAAATGTAAAGATGAGGCCGATTATAAAGGAAGGTCAGGGTATTAACTTGATTTGTTAAAGCTAGCTGGATTCGGCAGATCTAATATAGGCACCGTTTAGTATTATTTTTAAAATCACTTATAATCACGTTTCATATAAATTGAAACTAAACTATTCTTACATACTTACTTATTTTGTATTATATAAATCATAATTAAAAAGTTATTTATAAATTATTTTAAATAGACACATAGTTATTTAATCTAATGGGTGTGAGTGTATACTACTCATCAGAGTTGACCCTAGCACATTAGTATAGAAACCCCACGTCCTTAAAATCACCACCATTCATAAATACACTTTTTTTAACCAAACCCGCCTTCCCCTGATAAGGGAGTGGACCCACACACCAATTCATTTCTCCATAACAACTTGGGAGTGTCAATCGAGTTGTAGGTTCTTAACTCATAATATCCTCAATAACTTCAGCAAATATTTTAGCATAAACAGCTCAAACAGATTATGAGAAATAGAGTGAGTTTGAATTATTGTTATATGGAGAGATAAAGTAAATTTAATTTTTGACAGTAAAATCTAATGTTTTCTCAGATATCAAGGACAAAAGATAAGTTCATCCTTTGTCTGTAAAAAAAGAAAAGAAAAAAAAGAGCCCATCCAACTATCTTACCTGGCGATGCCTTCGACTAACTTTTTTGGACCTGTATATATCAAATACTACCTCCGGTTCTTAATATAAAATCTTGTTTGACTTTTATTTTAATCCTAAATATGAAACTCCAATCCACTTTGTCTCTCATATTTATACATTTTTTTGTCAAAGTAGCCCTTCTAATAATGATAGTTATAATCAATACACTTAATTAGCAAGAATATTTTAGGAAAGACAACACCTATTTAAGACAAATAACTAACTCCATTTACTTCCTTAATCTTCTCAAATTAGTCAATTGGTTCTTATAATTAGGACCGGAGGTAGTATTTATAAGCATATTGACAATTCTCCTTATATACTTATTTTGTATTCTATAAATTATAATCATCATTCTAAATGAGAAAAATCACAATCAAGTTCGCGTGTAGTTTATTAATATTCTTTGGCATTAGTATGGGCATATGGAGCTTTCATGGTAGTTTAGTTGCTAATACTGACTTTTTCAGGCATGTTAGTGCTTCTTTGTTTCCTGCTTCATTTGGAACTTCGTAATCATGTTAATGTCTCTTTTTTATTTTATTTTTTTTACCAAAAATGATTAATCACTGTGAGAGAAAGCAGCAGATCCCGAAAGAAGAGGGGAATGCAGTTTGCACTCTGCACACACGCCCCAAATCCCAAATTATTTACCACAAAAAGCGAAGATCGTAAATTGGGCTTGATCCGGCCCAGGACCCTAGTCTGAAGAACCAACATTTTTATGAGGATTTTTCCCCCTTCTAACTAGAAGATCGGGAAGGATCATGTTCCGATTACTATCGAGTATCGACCATCGTCCCCTGATAATTTTAAAAATATCTTAACTGATATACCACATCCACCCTAATTATAAGAGTCAGTTGACTAATTTGGAAAAAAAAAAATTTAGTTAGTTATTTGTAATAAATATATATTGTCTTTTTTAAAATATCCTTATTAATCAAGTATGTTAGCTAAAACTATAATTATTAGAAGAATTATCTTGAAAAAATTAAGTAAATATGAGAGACAAAATAGATTTGGATCTTATATTTAGAACCAATATAAAATTAAACAGGATCTTATATTAACAACCGGAGGTAGTATCATATTGTATTGTATTTGGCTCTGCCAAGAGATTCTCGTCATGAAAAAAAGAAAAAAAATTATACAGAGTCTTGCTACCTATAAATTATAAACAATATAATTCTAGTCAAATTTTTTATTATAAGGACAACGAGGGTTACCCATCTTAAAATATTAATAGGAGTTTTGTAGAAGTTGAGTCCATAGATTTTATAGAGAAGGCCAAGCTTGAAAATTCAGAGCAAAAACAGGTCTTTTACTCGGGTAGCCCATAAGTCAATATACCTACTACCCTGTCTTTAATATAAGATAAAAATTCATTTGACTTTTTGTTTTGATTTTAAATATAAAAACTTAACTTAATTCGTTTTATTTATCATATTTACTTATTTTCATGTAACAGTATATAATAATTTTAATTAATATTCATTGTTACAAACTACCAATGCACAGAACATCTCTCTACAGAGTTACTCCATGTTAGTACATGAAACAGCACTCGTATGCAGCACTAACATTAACATCTACGACCTGCTTTCTTCCTTTCCCTTGCAATTCATCAAAACCACAAAGAACGAACAAAACTTCCTCCAAGAAAAGGTTACAAAGGAAATTATTACCATCCTCAGCGAAACCCAGAACGCCCGCCCAATAAAGAAAATAAAACGTTGTCCATTATGAAATCGTACCCGATCGGAGCTCAAATTAATAAAAGGAGAAGTCAACTGCTGCGCCTCCGATCAGCCGCGTACTGAGATAGAGGCACCACCTCCTGCAACGGCGTCGAGATCGGAGTTGAGATCGGCGTAGGAAGCGGAGAGTTTCTGCAGACGGGGCAGGAGCCGTTGAGCTTGAGCCATGCATCGAGGCAGACGAGGTGGAAGAAATGGCGGCACTCCGGCATCATCCTCAGCATCTCGGAGTCCTTGTACTCGCACAAGCAGATGGAGCACGTGATATTGTTATCCGCGGCGTCGGCGGCGGCGAGAGCGTCCTTGGTGTATGAGAACCTCGGGTAGGAGTTGATAACATTAGGAGCGAGACCGAGGGAGACGGAGTTATCATCACGGTTGTGGTCTTCGTCGGCGACGAAGATGATGCGGGGGAGAATGATTCCGTCGGGGGGAGGGGGAGGAGGAGGGGAGGGAGGGTGAGGCCGGCAGCAGAGGTAGGAAGAGAGGAGGAGGGTGGAGAGGAGAAAGAGGAAGGCAAGGGCGATGGCGATGGAGTAGCCGAGGCCGATGTTGGAGAGGAAGGAGGAGGCCGAGGCGGCGGAGGACATGAGGAGTAGGAGGAAGAAGAAGGGGGATCTCCATTTGAGGGAGAGAAGAGGAGAAAGGGGATGTTAGTGAGAAAAGGGTGGGTGGGAATCTCAGCTGTTGCATTTAATACTGTGGTTTTTGAGAGAGAGAAAGTGAGAGTTGATAGGCATTAAATTGGAGAAGAGAAAATTTGAGCTTTTCTGCTTCCTCCACTTCGCTTTTGGAGGTTGCAAGTGGAGGTAAATGGACCATCAACTCAGCTGCAACTCCAAGCACTTCTCTGACTTTCTTTAAGCCACTTAACCATTTAATTAATGGCTATTTAGTTAAGTGCACCTCTTGCATTACGTCATCTCTCAACTTTCAAGGCATTCAAGATGGGTTTTTGAATAATGTTAATTATTATTTTTTTTATCCTATTTATGAGTGGATTACTCTCCATATGCTGTTTTAAGGCATCTTCTAAAAGTAATTTTCATCCTAAGCATAAATCACTAACTAACTTAATGTTAAAAGGCTCACAGAACTTCATGTTTCTATATCTGTATCATTTAAGTTGGGATAAACTACGAAGACATTATCAATTTATGACAAATTTAGTGCTTTGGCTGCCTTTACATGTAAGAATTAGTTAAGGATGCCCTGTAATAAGAACTAGAGGGAATACATTGCAATATTATATATTGAACAAATTAGACGCATTGTTTAATTTCATAAATCTCGTATTATATAGTAATTTAATACTACTTTCGATCCTTAATGTAAGAGTTAATTGATTAATTTGAGAAATTAGAGAAGTTCGTTAAGTTAGTTATTTATAATAAATAGGTATTATATTCCCTATAATACTCTTATTAATTATGTGTATTAGTTAGACCCACCATTTAATGCTACATTTAATATGTGCAACTACTATTATTGGCAATACCTAGAAAAATAACAAAAATATGGTTCGAGTCATGTTTAAGGACACTGTCCTTAAAAGTTATTCCACCACACAAGTTAGAATAAAAGGTGGTACTCACCAGGATTAAACAAACCCTTCCTGTGTAGAAGAGAGAAAGGAGGAGAGCTCAGGGATAGAACTCAACGCGTTTTAACCATGCACCACACATTACCTTTTATAAGTAGATAATATGTGACCGTTGGACTGCCATAATGGTAATTAAAGATGGTTTTAATAACAATTAAAAGAGCGGTTTTTAAACAATTGATTAAGGTGAATTAAATCATTTTAAGGGCATTGACTATAGTTTATGAAAAAATAAAACCGACTAATTAAGACACATAAATGCTTCAACGGTCATCTCTAATGGTCAGTTCTAAAAACTCCTTCGTAGCCATTTTATTAGATGAAGCTCACATCTTAGTAAATACTAAGGTTTTCTCAATCTTGAGTAATATGGGACTTCTTTTGATATACTCACATACTGAAACTTCAACAACTATAAAGACTACTTTGAAAAAATAATAAATAAATATGAGGAAGAAAGTAGATCGATGTCTTATATTTAGAATCAAGTTGAATGTTAAATTAAAAATAGATCGGGATCTTATATTTAAAATCAAATTAAATGTTAAACTAAATTGAATATTAAACTAACCCTTATATTAAAAATCAGAAATAGTAGTATAGTTAGGTCTATCCCTGCCCCTTGTTCCCATTGTTCGGAATATAACAGATCCATCGCTTAAAATGGTGTCAAAGCTTATCATCTAAACTTACTCAGGGCTCTGCCCTTTTTTGATAAATACTCAGTCAGGCAATTAATGCAATAATGATAAATATCTGGTACATTGAAGAAAAATGGCAGCTAGGAATGACTCGTTGGTTTTGTCATATTTCCGAGTTGATTTCATTTTCATGTTAGACAACGTGACGGTGACGTTTAAGGTTGTGATCAATAGTTGCACAGATGAATGAAAGTAATTGGGTGGGATTTTCTTTTTTCTTTTTTTTTTTTGTGTGGCAGCGGCATACGTGGCGCTCCAAATCCACAACGGAGGGAAGTTGCCATTAAATCAATATAGAAATTCATTATAAACCCTCTCTAATATTTCTTATATACCTCACAAAATCCGAATACTTCAAATAAGTAAAAGTCTTATATCGTTGATTTCAATCCTTCTACAACATCATGGATCCTGTCTTTATGGTGTATGAATATCGTTGTTCGTTTAAAATCGTTTATTTTGTTCTTGCTCCTTTTGGCCCTTTTTTCCTCTTTTAAAAAAAATGTTCTTGCTTTTTCTTTTGGATTTGCAGATCTGTTAATCAAATCTTTAATTGATCCACATTACATCATGATAAGATAATTAATTCACCCTTCATGATGATAGGATTCTTCCTCCCCCATATATCCGCCTCTATGCTTTATAATTATTATTTATATCCCGTGCGGGTCAATTAAATCTAATTTTTTTATGGAGTCTTTTGTATAAATTATTAGAACTTATTGTCATTATTATTATATTTAGGTTAAATTATACGACACTGTTTTGAACTCTGAATCAGGTATAAATAATCCTCTTAAGTCTTAACCTTTAAAACTTAATAAATTAGTATTATATATCTCCTTAAACTATTATTGATGCGTAAATAATTTTCATGAAGTTTAAGATATGTAAAGATACAAAATTAATCGCAGTTAAATGCATAAATGTAAGATTTTAAAGGAATTCATTGAAGAGTTCCAGAGGTTATGAAGATTAATAGGTATACGTTTCAAAGTTCAAAGAAGTTATATATAATTCGCCCTTTTATATACCATATAGACATACCGTAGGCCCCGAGGTTTTAGAGTTTTCGTCATAATGAAAATTAAATATAAATGAAATGATGATCTTCTAATTTAATCATTAAGATATTTAAAACGGTGAATACTTTATAATGCGACTCTGTGTTTTTATTCTTTTTTTTTTTTTGTTAATCCAATATATTCATAAATTATTTTAGATTTAAAACTAATTTCTTATCTATCATTCTAACAAGTACAATTCTCGAATGCCGCCCTCTCTCTTTCTTTCTTTTTTTTGAATTAAAAATCTCATATTAACATTTTAATTCCCCATAATGATCTCTTAATAATCCGCTTTGCGATATTTATTAGTTGATTATATATATATATATATATATATACATATATATAAAGGGTACACACCACTTTTGACTGTTCTTTAAATATACTCTCCTGAACTTCGTATTCCTTCTCATTTTTGTGACTTCTGATTGTTCTATATATACCTACCATCCATTTTAATATCTGCCACGGTTTCAGCCTTTAATCAATCTCTCCATCTCTAAATATGGAACTCAAAAAGAAAATGTAATCTTGTCAAATTCTTTTTTTTTTTTGGTCAAAGTAATCTTGTCAAATTCAACCGCGCACAGAGTTTAGTTTTTAATACAAAAATTGGAATCAGAGACATTGAAATAAAAATAAAACTTGTAAAACCCAAAACCAAGGTATCGCTAGCAATTTATCAGCGTGTCAAGGGTCCAACTATAATCACATAAAATGTTAAAAAAAAAATGAGTTGCATATAAATCGTGAGTAATGCACTCATTAAAAATTTTATTTTATAATATTGTAAGTTGTGAGTTTTATTGTAGATTTTATTATATGTATTAATAGATAGCGATGATTATCCATTAAATGCACATGATGATGCAAAAGCACTATAGTCAAAAGTTCACGTGATGTCCCAACCATAAGATTAACAAATTAGTATAATTGTGTTGCAGTGGAGGACCTTGAAGGGGTTCTACTTTATTCAGGTATTGTGTAGTTTTATGACAGCAACGAGCATTGAAAATTCCACCCATCCACATGTTGAAACATAAGTAAGTCATGGCAACATAAATCTAGTTGGTGAGACATAAAGAAATACTCTTCATATATTAATAGCAAATGATGGTCTTAATTAGGCTAATTAAGTAGGGTTTTTGAAGGGATTGAAAGCTGCCTTTCATTTGAGGCATCATTTAAGACCACTTTATTTTGGTAACAAAACCTCTTAGTGGATTTGCCCCAAATGATTCTTCAGACACAGCCCAAAGTGGCCCATATTCTTATGAAATAACATCTAGTGTAGTTGACCACAATTAAATTTAAAATATTACAAGTTTAATAATGAATGGACATGATTTTTTTCTATATCAAAATATCAAAACGGTAAGATCAGTAAGTAAACTTGCAAGTTCAACCAAGCTAGCATAAATTTAAGATCAAGTTAACATGATTTTATGAGGGAGAGATGTAAAAACAGTAAACTAATAGAATCAAACTGCGAGTGTAATAAGAATGTTTGCCTTAGGAACATAAAATCATTTAAAGTAAACTAAGATAACCCAAACACAGCCTAAACAGGGTTAGAAATAATAATTTTAATGTACAAGTGGCAAGGAGGTTAGAGGGCCGCGAAGTAACTCAAAAGAGTGAAATAGAGAGTCAGAGGCATCTCGCATCTAGATCACTAGATTCTATTAAGGTAGCAGTGCTCTATTTATTCTCTTTCACCTCCTCACTCTCTGACCATATGTCAAATAATGATTCCGTATAAGAGAAGAAGATCAGAAAAATGTGAATCTCAAAGTTTTTGATCGATCCTGTTATAAAAGGCAAAGATGCTTGGAATGAGAAACCTTGAGCACACCCTTCTCCTTCCTTTGATATGACGCTGAAGATATCAATTCATAATTCAGAGCAAAGATAGATGCAAGAGGTTCATGCTCAGTCATAAAAGGATTCGAGCTCCTTAATGGTCGCGCACACAGATTCAAACATGGGTGGCAGAGATGGGACTTGTTTGGAGATCATTAATAATTATGTGCAGTACGTAGCAACATGGTTCATCTTTGATGAGTGGATTTTGCTTTAGAAAGAACTTTGAGAAGATCGAAGATGGAGATGGGCACGTATGTATGAAGTGTAGTAGCTGGGCGACATCGTGGGGATATTCATCTCCATCTTTCGCCACCAACGTTATTTAGTTTCATGCATACGATGTAATCCCTCCTTTTAAAGGACAGGATTTTTCTCATATTGATTCGCCCTTGTTCGCGATTCTTTAGGCATGAAATTACAGATTTGTAATGAATTTCCA